AAAAAAAAACAAAAAAAACCATAGCTTCCCTAAAGATTCCAGAGGAACTGTCCAATGGCCTTTCCAAAGATAAAAGGCCTGGATCCCTTGGGAAGGCAGTTCTCACTAGTAGATTATTATCTCGCAGAAGACCTAGAACACTCATGGAGCAAAGACTTAAGAATATCATCTTTATCTAGAAAAGTAACGTTGCTTACTCAGCAGCAACAGGGCTAGACCTTGTTTTTGCCTTCTTTCTCCCTGGGCCGTGGACGGGTGATGGTTGGGATCAAGCTGGCCGCCACTTTACTCATTGGGCCTCATTTCTGGACCTCTGCTACCTTGCCAGTTGCTTCTGAGATGCACCATGTCCTCCTTCACCTCTCTGCCTTTGGATGTATGGTTTCTTCTGCCTGAAATTCTTTTCCCTGCCGTATCCTTCTGAGAAGCTCCTAGTCATCCTTCAAAACCCCACTCAAATGACATCTGTTTGGTGAAGTCTTCTCTGACTCCCCAGAGAATCCCAAGTCAGAGTTAGTGATTCCTCACCAGGGCTTCCACAGCAGCTGGCTGTGTGGAAACTCATCACAGTGTATAGTACGTGTTTGTTTTCATGTCTGCCCTGCCCCCAGGCCTAAGAATCCCTAAGGGAAGGGGTTGATTATTCATCCTCAGTCTGTAGCCCTGGCTCAGTGCCTGGCAGGTAGTAGGGACTCCGTCAGTGCTGGCAGACCTGAAGCAAGTTCTCCTTTCTGTAACCAGCAGAGTGCTTTTCCAGGTGGCTGACCAGGATCACGGAACAAAAGACAGTCACTTCCTGAGGCAGCCCTGGGGCACTTGCCTGGCATTGGGAGCTCAACGCAGAGTACTGAATGCTAACATTTAATGTTTGTGCACTGGAGGGCACACGTCATTCAAAACTGGATGGAGGCTGTTTAGAATCTATTTTAATCCCAGAAGATGACATGTAAGGAGAAATTTTCTAATAGTGTGATGAAGCTCTGAGGCGTGAGTTAAACGGGTGGTGGGTGTTGCACATTGAAGGTCTTTTTCTGTTTTGAGGCAGAGTTTCGCTCTTGTTGCCCAAGCTGGAGTGCAGTGGTGCGATCTTGGGTCACTGCAACCTCAGTCTCTTGGTTTCAAGTGATTCTCCTGCCTCAGCCTCTTGAGTAGGTGGGATTACAGGCATGCGCCACCACACCTGGGCAATTTTGTATTTTAGTAGAGACAGGATTTCTCCACATTGGTCAGGCTGGTCTTGAACTCCCGACCTCAGGTGATCTGCCTGCCTTAGCCTCCCAAAGTGCTGAGATTACAGGCATGAGCCACCACATCCGGCTGAAAGTCTTTATGATCTCTGGCTTTTTTCAGAAAAGACTGTCTGAAGTGAGTAGCTGAAATGTGAACATATTAGCTCTGATTTTAAGGTTATATAATGGGATCGGTTAGGCCTCTTGCTCACTCTGGGCACTGGAAATGGTATGGGGCTTTGGTAGCTTCAGGTGGCATGACCTGGCCCTCCATGAATGGGTGTTGAGGTTGGACACACGGCTGCCACTTCTCTGCACAGCTGCTCACAGCTTTGCCTCATCTGCAAACATCGGAGGGATCAGTACCTATAAGTACGCATGTGTTGTCAGTAAACAGCCTTTTCCAGAGCTGCAGTATCAGCTGGTGCTCTTTGCCTGCGCTTCTCTCTGGCTTTGACTCTCCCTCTCTGTCCCCTGGTCCCAAAGGCTCTTGGCGTGGATAGGGGGAGAGCCAGCGGTATTGAAAGAGGACACATGACGAAAGAGGACACATGACGAAAGAAGGAAGGTGAGGGTCACCTTCAGGGGGAAAGGTAAGTGGGTGTTGTGGTTGATTCCATTCTGTGCTGGAACTCCCTTGCAGGGCGTTTTTTGGAGGTGGAATTTTTTGACTTGTCCTTCAGTCAAAACAACCATGGGTCTGAGGAAAGAGAGGATGGCACATGAGTGGGACAGAAGTGATTGCTGAGGCTGGGAAATGGCTGTCACTCACATATTAAAATAGCCCAATAGTTCAACATTAGGATTATTAGTGAACATTTTTTTCAAGTTTAGCACAATTT